CTTTTATCAACTATAGACTTAGGTATTGTTTACTTAGATATTTTATATTCTTTATATGTACTATGTTGTATTATCATTATCAACTTCAGATTCAATTGAACCTCCCCGTCTAATTCCCTACACACAGACTTGATCTTCTGTAGGTTTGCCCATTTACTCCCCTTTTCCCCTTATCTTCTGCACTGTGTCATATATATGTACAAAAATGTAAAACAAGAGGAGAATAAATTATTATTATTATTTCGAAACGTTTACCACTAATTAAATGAATTCTACAAATCTAGAAGACCTGCGACAGAAAATTGTTCGGGAATGCCGATTTCTGACTCCAGACATCTTCAATAATGTAGGGAACGCTTTCGAAAGTAGACTGTATTTTTGTATGGAACTGAAAGGACGTCATTTTGAACAATTTGTTCGTTGATTGTGTTGCCATTAATATTACTTTTGTTGATTTCCTCAATAAAATGGGCGACAGCAAATTTTCTGTTGTTTCTTAAATACAACGTTCAACATTTAATTTCGCAAAAACGAATGAACTAATTTCGAAAAAAATTACAAAAGTTATAGAGGGACAAAATACCTTTCAAAAGCTGTATCACTCGGAAATATAGGGGCGGTAGTTGCTGACCGCAGGGGGGTGAAGTTTCGGGTATGATTTCCATATCTGAATTAGTCCTTCTAGAATAAAAATTGACAGGTCCTTTGATATTTTTGATCACACGTCCGCTTCTGACTTACAGAGAAGTCAAGTTTTCCTTGGAACGCCCTGTATATACTGATTCTTTGAGCCTACGTCTTTCAGAATATGGTTTGTTAGCATTCTCGTCTCGTTTCAATACATTCGATGTTCATCGCCTGATTTGAATATGTGGCAATTTTGATCTTGTCAGTTGTCTATTTATCTCACCACAATATTTTCTAAGACGAGAACAAGGTATGTCATGAATGGATTTTTCTCTTTTGTGTTTTGTACTCACATGTTTGTTTTCTACAAGAACATCTCTCAACATGAAAATTGGATCTCTGGCTTTGAAATTTTCATTTATATGCCCATAAATTCATGAGTACCTACATATCTCAATGTATGTTACCTTTAATAGTGCTCAAATATTTTTGATAAGCATAATAAAAAAAATACAAAAATATACAAATAGTACATATCTTTTTTTGGAAGAGAAAGTTTTTGGAGAAAGGAAGGAAGTAATCAATTTGAAACTCTATACATGAATGTGTAGATCATGCAAAGAAGTAACTTTCAGACACAAAATGAAAGAAAGTCCTCCTGAAACAGCTACTTTCATATATCGACTATTAAACTGATCGTTAATCAAGATTTCCATTAGATAAACAGTGTTGCTCGCAGATTCTTTCGAAACGACTATTAAACTGATCGTTAATCAGTGTTGGATAGATAATCAGATCATCAATCAAAATTAGGTATCACAAGACTCCTCTTTCTATTTGAAAAAAAATAGATGGCGCTCTCTCCGCAGCGTGTGATATCACACCAATGACACGTCTGTCAAAAAGTACGAATTTTTGTCCTACTTTAATATCGTACGTCGTTAAGTTCACACTGTATAAATGCAGGTAACACTCTTCCACTTTTCGTTACATTGTGGAAATGTACTAGTATCTTTCGATTGATGTTTTTTGTTGAATTATCCTTATCTCATTGGTCTCCATAATGCTGAATAATGATGTTTTTGATTTTCTTAGCTTTTTTCACTAACTCCACGTGTTCAAGTGAAGTTGCTGATAACTACGTTTGAAAATTCGTGAAGATTGTTGGAATACCCATCGAACTAGAGATCTCAGTACGAATTATTGACGTAAAAGTTTGGTTTTACTATCATTAGATATTCAATTACGATTACTAATATTCGATAAATTCTATTTACAATGGCTTTGATTCGATGATTTTTCAATAAATTCGCAATAATTTCACTTAACTATAATTATATACTAGGGTCAATGAAAATTAAAAAAAAGGATTAAAAATGAATATTCACTGATCGTTAGAGAAAAGTGAATAAATACTTGAAAACGTCGAGTTGAGTGAATGTTTTTGAAAAATGAGTTTTCTATTTCTGACAGCCATTTAAGAAACAAAATAATTTGGACCTTCGATCTTCAGTTGCACAATTTCTCTTCACTGTATATATCCAGCCTCTTTCATTTCGTTTTTGAATTATTCAACTGAATATTTCAAATCAAGATTCTTTTTCAGGCCGAGGATGGGAAAAAGCACTTTCCGAAGATTGGACTCCTATTATTTCCTTACATCGCTATGGAGATAAATTATACTACATGGGAACTCAGTTCACAGTGAGTTATAATAACTCTGGTTTATTGTTCAATTAACATTTATTTCTAGGCGACGTGGCACCAAGCATCAGAATTTTGTGAGAGGATACATATGACCCTTGTAACGATACGATCTCGAGAGGAAAATGAGCGAATATTCAAATATATCAGAGAAGCAAGTGAGTACAAAAAAGTTTCGAAAAAATTGGGGAGCTTCTATTCTATCCATAACTCATGTTTACAAAGGGTTCGCTGAATCGCTGAATTGAAGTTAGGAACTCTCTATGATGCCTGTGGTCATTGGTGTTCTGGGATTCAGTGAAGAATCATTTCATTTCGCTCTGGCTCAATGACGTTTCCAGTTTAGTCTTAATGTCACTTTTGGTATATCAGTGCCTCAAGTGCAGCCTGTCTGTTTATGAAAATATTGATCTGTTCATTTCATTGCGGCCTCAAATTGATGTTCCTCTCGTTCTGTCAGAGTGTAAACACTTCAGCCCGGAAGAACGATGTGTACTGACCAAGTTAGTTACTCAAATGAAGATTTCTACCTGCACAAAAAATTCCAGCTCTCGTCCCATGACGAAAGTGATGAAAATATGCATATATAATATTTGTTGCGTCAAGTATTTTGAAAATTTCAGATTTATTCATTTCCGGTGAATTTTTTGCTATACAGGTCGTTTCTTTTATCATGTGGTAACATTGCTATATTCTAAACCGTAACAGATACAAAGATGATCAAATGGGAAAAAAGTAACTGTCATCGGGAACAATACAATGGCAGAAGCAAAACTTACGGAGACTCTCGCCCTTCTCGAGTTATACGGGGAAAACCAAAAATGCTGTTTTTCGTTTTTTTTTTCGAATGGAATTATTTCGGAGAATATCAAAAACTGGAAAAAAAAAATTATTGTATTCGAAGTGTACTATGACGGTGTAATAATGAATATTCGATAAAACGTTTTGTGTCAACATGGCCACCATCAACTTTTTTTTTAATACGGACCTTTTTTTTATTACAGATGTTGATAAAGCGATAAATTCACAATTCAAGGGTATGTCACATTTGATATTTCTATAGCGTTTCATTTAAAATAACCATCATTATCAGTGACGACAATCAACAGAAAAACAATTTATTTTATTATGAGCTTCTGAGAAAAATTAAATCAATACGGAGAATCAGAAAGCTACATGACAATCAACATTAAATGCTCGAATTGACGATCTTTTCGTTGAATGCACATAAGTTGTCAGTCCAGACAATTTCTATGGCAATGTTCTAGCATAATGATCGATACCTATACTTGGTGTTGAAAAAACTTTACCCTTAATGTATCCGCAGACAAAAAATCAAAAGGAGTAAGATCTGAGGATCGAATTGACCATTTGATTGATCCATTGTTTCCAATATATTTTCTTGGGATTATTGCATCTAAATGTTCCCTTACTATTGCTGCATTATAGGAAGCAGCGCCGTTCTGTTGAAAATATTGTATTTCATGGCGGACATTCAGTGGAAAATCATCTAAGTAGCCATCGAATTATTTTGTATGTCCTAACCAAGCAGTGGTTGTCAGTGGAATGGATAAAAACATTACGCATCACGGAAGTTACAGTAGAGAAAAATCCCAAGCTCAGGCTACCTACTATATAAAGCATGAAACAGTACTTACCGCTGTCATTACTGACAAATGTGGGAACATGATACGGCCAACTGTATAGCGCAATGTTAGCTTTCATTGTTCGAAGTCCAGGAATGCACGAAACTACCATAACACAAAATAACAACAGCTTTCATAAGTAATACTAATTCGGGCAGAACTCTGTTTAATGCAAAACCCAAACGATATAGAATGAAAAAATCAGGTATGTATAGAATAGAGTGTGGCAGTATATACATGCCAAACCGGTAGAAATTTTGACGTAAGGCTCCGTGACAACGTCTGTTAAGACAAAAATCTATAATGTATGAACATCTTCAAGAATCAAAACACAGTAAGTAAAGATAACCTCAAAATGAACTTCAACAAATCCATTAAAAAAACTGAAATATATACGCCCAAACGAGCAGATCGATTTACGTAGGTCTCTTTTCTTGAATTTATAAGTTCAACAACCCCTATAATCTTCATTGTTTAATTTTATAGTTGGCACCCTGGTTCGTTTAACTACCTATCCTTCTATCTCACCTAAAAACTCTCGATAAAATCGAGTTTACAAATTTCACATATTAGTTTTATACTTGATAATGTGGTTGAACCCTAAACTGGTCGTATACATAAAATTAACTAGTGAAAATTAGACCATCTGAAAATGGAACATTTAACGGGTGATGATCAACTGTTCTTTCAAACATGCGCTAAACTAATTGACTATTATAAGAAAACAAGTAAAGCTGAGACACTAGTCAGTATATTAATAACACTGATGATTTTCAAATACGACTCAACCTCTGACGGAAGCACCAAACTCTTACGAAGCTTAGAAATAGATGAACACTATTATAATCTTCATGCAGTTATTGTTCACTGTGGTTATGGCGTTGAATCTGGTCATTATCATGCATTGGTCAAAGACGAAACGGACTGGTTTGACGATAGTCGTGTCACTAATTGTTCTGGCGATGTCTTGAATTTAATTGAGCCTAAATTTTGTTTTCTGAAAGAGAGGATATTAGCAGGTCAAGATCTTCAGATGATGTAGTGCCGCAGGATTTTCCGGGTTTTTCTGTAGCTGAAACAGCAAATGCGCCACTGGAATCAACGAAATCGCCCCGGAGCCCCAATTAATTTTTTTATTTCATAAATTTCATGATTTGTATTACTTTATTTTTTAATATAGTTCTTCTTTGGAATATAGAAAAAAGACCAAAGTGTTTTTATTCACTTCATTAAAGTGATCATTAATTACCACAAAATAAACAAGTCATCAATCACACATAGTAACTGTCTCTCTTTCAATCTTCACTAACTTACACCTTCCTCTCAACTTCTGTTTGCCTCGACCAGTCACACTTCGTAACGCTCCCGTCATGCATTCACCAGCTTACTCCCCAAGTCAAGCGCGGATAGAAGTTTTACTTCGATTTCCGCCTTGCCCGATCACACTTTTCGTAACGCTCTCGTCACGCTTTCATCAGCTTACTACCCAAGCCAAGCGTGCGTAAAGAAGTGTTACTTCATCAAACACGAAATATATCTTATGTTTTAGGTAAAGGTTACCAGTACTGGACTGGAGGTTCAAGATTGGTAGATGGTTACAACTGGCTTTGGCTAGCTTATGGAGAAACGATTGATTATACAAATTGGGGTGCTGGTGAACCAGGAAACATTAACGAAAAGTGTTTACAGTTGTGGTGGAGAAGAAACAGTCTAGAGTGGAATGACAGGCATTGTGATACTCGATTTTATTTCATATGTGAAAGATCAAAAAGTCTACCTGGTGTCGGAGGAACATTTTGAAAACATCAACGCATACATGGGACTATCAATTTTCAATTTTACCATCATAGAATTTATGTTTGCAAATCATATGAAAATAAAGAGAATATTCTGCTACAAAGTATTCTGTTAAATATTTTTCTATCAAATCGTGTATACTTTTTGCAGATCAAGAGTCTTAATTAAATATGAGAAAAAAATCACAAGTTCATTGGAAATGAAATGAAATGTTATGAATGCAGGAAATTCTGAGGTTTTGTAACCCGTTTATAGTCAGAATAAAAATCAATCCCATTAGTAAGTTTTGGAATTTTGAAGATTTTTTGCAGTTTTCGTATTTTTATGACTTATAAATTGTTGAATAATGCAAATACTATCAGGACAACTTTGTTCAATCATAAAATATCTACCAAATCATCTTTCATTTCTCATATTCCTTATATTTTAAACTATATATGTGTTTTAATTGACATTTGTACATTTTGAAACAAGTGTTTTTTCACTTATCGAGTAGGTATCATTTATACAAAAAATTGTATTTGCTGTATACATTTTCTCTTTTTTCATTAATAAATGATATTATTATTATCATTATTATTATTTATCTTACTCCAGACAGATAATATTCAATTGAATAAAGCTGTCCTAATAGTTTATTACCGTATATGCGTTATTCAACAAGATGTTAGTCATGAAGGATGAAAAATTCAATTTTCATAAACAAATCGCTAATAAAAGGTGACCAAAAAGAGCTACAAACTTACTTCAAACGATAATTGATAATTCATAAAAAACTCGATTGTCAATCATCCTGTCTATAATAAAATAATATTTGTCATGGAGTTTTCAGCTCCTGGCGAGACGAATATCGTCCGAGTAGATGAGGAGAAACGGATAAAATATCCAGATTTTCTCTTCGAACTCCGCAGACTATCCAGATCACTCTGTCAAGATGGTTGTTCTGATTATTGGAGTCCTTGGTGGAATGATGCCCTCTTTACTCTCGAATCTCAAAATCATACCGGCCTGCCACACTAAGGCACAAATCTTAGCCAGACAGATGCAGAAGGCAGTAATTCTTGGCTCACTGCGCTTGCTTAGGGCACATGATTCTTGGACCCAATGATCACTTATCCCTCGGTGTGGGAAATGGTCATTGGTTGATAATGCTGGCGCGACCTCCCGAATGTATCGGGGCTTCGGGGAATAGGGCCTGACCAGCGCAGCATACTTCGGTAAAAAAAATAATATCATTATCAATAATGGAAGAGAGCGAATGTATACAGCAAATAAAATGTTTTGCATGAATGATACCTACTCGATAGGTAAGCAAACACTTGTTTGGAGATAAAATTACCTTATCTAACTACATAAAAAGAAAAATATATTCAAATACAAGATCATTACGTAAAAAAGCAGCACACTTGAAAAAAATATATGGAAATGATTAATATTCAATCATTTTTTTTTTCTGTTACATATGTAACAGAATATGGAATTCAAGTAACTTCACAGGTAGATTTCGAATAAGAGTCAGAATTTCTTTAACAAAATCTCATTTAACTGAATCCAATCTCAATTAACAATTCAGCTGATTATAATTTTTTACTTTTTCTATTGGGAAAGTCTAATTTCGATTTTTCAAGCAAAAAATTATTCCTCAACTAATTATCAAATTACGGAAAAATAAGAAAATGATAATAAACGATGAAACAAATTTTTTTGAGATTTTTTTTGTGTAGACCAACTGATCAGAAAAACTTTTTTGAAAACTAGCTTAAAAAAATGTATGCAGTGTCAATTACTGCAGTTGTTAGTTGCGAACACGGTAATAATATAACATTTTTCAGATATTCAAATAATTTACAAATTTAATGAGCAAAATTCAATGAATGTAATGAGTAATATTCCACACAGATCGAGAAAAAGTGGTTTCAATGATACTCATACTCTGGTCTTACAGGTTAAACTTTTTCCTCCGACTCCAAAAATATGAATGAGGTGTAGATGAATTTTTAAAAAGTCAAGTTCCGCTTGCAAAAATTGCAAAAGTTATAAACAAATGACTGGAAAAAATGATGTTGCTTTTTTGCAAATATCTCAGAAACTATTTGACATTTTTCAAATTTGAAAAAAGATTCAAAAGGAGGAAGAACTGTAAGACCAATATTTATAATTTTCCCAGAGGGTTGAAAATAGTCCTAAAACGGGTACTCTAGGTTGCGCAAGAATTTACGATATTGAATGTAAGGACTGCGATGCAAAATATTATGAACAGACAAAAAGATCTATTAAAGTAAGATATAAGGAACTCATAGCACACTTAAAATATGGAAGACCTGAAAAATCAGCAGTCGCCCATCATATTTTGCAACAAAACCATTCCATAGACTTCAGTTCTTTAAGATTAGTTAGACAAGTTAATAACAACAGGCAACTAGATGCCTATGAGAGTGTGGAAATAAGTAAACATAATAATATTATGAATAACGA